CGCACCACCTCCGCCTTCCCCGGCAGGTGCGGGCCGGGCGCGCCCGGTCCCCACCTCGCGACCCCTTCCTCGGCCGCGCCTTGCTAGGGGAGCTCCGAGGACAAGCAGATTTTTAGGAGGCGGGAGGCAGGGTACACAGGGACCTCCGGGGTCTGTCCCGGAGACTGCGCGCCTGGGGACCCGCGCGATCGGGGTGCGGGGGCGTGGCTGCCCCGGCCCGGGTTCACCGCCCCTCGGGCGCAGTACCCGCGAGGGGGTTTCCCGGGGCCCAGCCCCCGAAAGCCCCGAAAGCCCCGAAAGCCCCGGTCGATCGAAGGCTTTTAGAGCTGAAAAGGTTTGGGACCAGGGACTGGACCGAAGTGCGGAGGCTGGTTCGGCCAACTCCCGCTGGGCGCCTCTGGGACCTCTTGACCACCTGGCAGAGCAGGTCACTGTGGGGTCCCCCACACCCTCCGTCCAGATCCCATTTCCATCCTACAGGCTCCTTTTCCGGGTCAAAGATGCCCCTGCCTCCAAGAGGGCTTCAGGATTTGCTGTCACCGAGCCACCAGGACCGGTTGGCCTCCCCTCTCTGGACCCCTGAGTCCTTCACACAGGGCACTGCAATCCTTCCTCCCAAACATATTAATTAGCCAGGTCGTTTACATGCTGTTAGCATGTTAGCATGCCCCATTTCTGCCCCTCCCTTCTCGGCCCAAATCTTTGAGGAGCAAGAGATACCTGTGGAGGCCCCAGCTTCCCCTCTCTAGCCAGACCAGGTTGCCCTGCCTGCAAACTACCTGATCTCCCCACCTACCACTGGAGCTGCCCCGAACCCCCAGCCCAGCTACTGGGTCCCTGGGTAACATGGGTCCTCAGGCTGGGGCTGGGATCTCTGACTGCTGCTAGGGATCCCAGGAGCCAGAGAGCTGAGATGAGGTGGTGGGTGACCCTGGTGAGGCCCCCACCCTGACCTTGTGCCCAAAGCTAGAGACTCCTTGAACCCACCCTGGGAGACCACAGGTCACTGAGGAACAAGAGTGGAGGCAGGGGATCCCTTCCTGGATCCTCTGCTTTCCTAGGGACCCAGGGCCTCCACCAGGAATGGAGGAGCTGCCTCTGGCTCATGGCAGCCCCCCACCCCGAGCTCTATTTTAGGCTCAGGAGAGGTGAGAAGGCGATTTCCCAGGAGACACTGACATCAATGCTGGGAACGGGTGACTCTCCCCTTCCAACCACCTGCCACTCCAGACCCAGATGCTCAGCAAGGTTGAGCCAGTTGTTTCTTCATTCTGGAGACATCTTGGAAACCTCTTAGGGGTGAGGGGCTCTCCACAATTACCCAGGAGGGAAAGATGGTGCTCCTCATTTTACAGATGGGGAAATTGAGGCTCTGAGAGGCTGCTCGAGCTTCCCAAAGTCACATAGCTAGCTGGTCAGTGAAAGGTGCATTCCATACTACAGGATCCCATTCCTCTCTGGCCACCCCTATCCCCACCACTGTCTTTTATCTTGGACCTAGAGGAGACTGGTCCATTTGGTCCATCTGTCCCCCCCCCCC